ATTTGTGCCCCTAGGCTACACGTAAAGCTAATGCCTTGGTCACCTCGCACTCATTATTTTGATAAATATTTACTGAGTGGCTACTCTGTGCCAGGCAATGTACCAGATGTTGGAGATAATCTCCTCCCTCTCTCCCTCCCATCCTTCCTTCCTTCTCATTCATTCATTCATTCATTCAGTATTAATTACACTATTGAGGCAGTACAGCCTTATGGATAAGAGTGATATCTGGGGCTAGACTATCAGGAGACGGACCCTGACTCATCCACTTACTAGCTGTGTGAGCTTGGCAAGTCACGTAGGCCCAGCTTCCCTATCCGTAAAATGGGGATAATAATAGCACCTTCCTTATAGGGTTGTGATGAGGAGGGAATGAGTTACTGCACACTAAGTGTCTGGAACAGCACCTGATATAGTAAACACGTCATAAACATCAACTATTATCTTTGTTGTTATGTGCCTGGCGCAGTGCCAGGTGTTGAGGAAACTGCTCCAAAATGTTCCTCTGGCAGGAATCCCTGCACGCCAGCCCTTGTTCCAGTCGCCCATCCTCTCCTCCCAGCCCCACCCCAAGAACTCGGCCTTGCAGTAGCTCCCCTAGTCCCATAGGGCCGCCCTCTACATCACCTCTCAAGCCAGGAGGAGAGAGTCCAGGCAAGTGAAGCCTGTCACACTTTGGTCTTCCAGCCTTACCTCCCTCTGCCCTGCCACACGTACCCTAGCCTCAGCCTCTCCAGGCCCACATATGTCTCCAGATTCATGCCCAAATCATCCTGCCTTCTTGCCTTCACTGGGCCTTGACGGATGGATGGTTTCTTCCATCCATCAGAATGCCAAGCACTTCCTATCAAGGTCCTTCAAATCCAACTGAAGCGTCATCATCCCCAGGAAGCCCTCCTTCCTTCCCCTCAGCCAAGAATCATGAGATCTGCCTCTGAATCTGCATTTCCCTTTGCAATTGTTTCTTTTTTAAGTTCTGTGAGCAATGGGGGGGCCATGGAGGGTCCTTGAGCAAGTGAGCAAGACATTCAAAGCTGGGCTTTAGAAGAATGGACTAGACCCCATAGAGGGTGGAGACAGGAAGAGACTGCAGGTGGGGAGCCCAGGTGTGGAGACTTCCGGGGCAAAAAGGCCTTCAGAGGAATGAGGGTCCAGTCTTCCTGGGCTGCTCCTCCCCTCTGCATGTCCCCACTATAGAATCAGCAACTCTGATTTCCCCAACATGACTCACTAAATCACTGGGACAGTCAAAACTGACTCTCCATGCTCGGACCCCTGGAATGTACGGATCCTCCGCACCCCTCACTCCCTCTACCTTCCCCTGCAGCCACAAAGCAGGCTGTGGGCACTGCAGTCGGGGAGTCAGGGGAGGCCAGTGCTGCATACTCGCCTGGCTGTCCATCATCCCCAGAGCCCAGCAGGTGAGAAGACAGCAGTGCTCCTTCATTCCCTGCTGAGTGAAGGAATCAGCCTATGTTTTCCAACTAATCCCTACAGCAACCTTTGGACATAGGCCCTATTTTAACCCATTCTGCAGCTGGGAAAACTGAAGCTCAGAAATATGAAGAGACTCGCCCAGGGTAGGGCGGCCACCGAATGCTGGAGTCAGAATTTGAATCCGATCTGATCCCAAAAAGCCAGTGTCCTTCCCTCATCACACAGGGAACAGAAGAACATGAGGTTCCCAAGGCCATGTTCCCTGGGCCCACTCTCAGGAGGTCTCGGCAGCCCCTCAGATCCGTATGCAAGGGGACCATAGAGCATGTGATGCTCAGCTCAGCTCGGTACCCTGTTTGGACTCCTGGAGGTCAGGGGAGGGAGGAAGGAAATTGACCCCTTGGGGTGGAGCAGGGCTTAGCTGGAGGCAGGTGCCTGGATGCCTGGGTCCTAGTACAAGACTTGCACCTGACCTGCCGTAGGACCTGGGTGAGTCCTTCCCGGCCCTGGGCTCAGAGTTGCCCTTTCGGAGAAGAGGACAATAGGTTTGCTGCCTTCTGCGTCGGCCCTGCCTGCCGAGCCTCCGTGCCCTTAGAGCCTGTGGCCAGATGAGGGATGTGGATTTGAGGGAGCTGGCATTAGAGGACCCCCCCCCACCCCATATTTCTGCCAAGGTTGGAACTGGCTCTCTCCTGCCCACATTTGGAGATGTGCCCACACAGACAGGCCCCCTGCAGGGGTTCCGGAGTTAAGTCGGCAGCCACTGAGAGCAGAGGGTGAGAGCACAGGGCCCAGCAGCTGAATTCACATCCTGTTCTACCACTCACCACCGGTGTGCCTCTGGATTTGGAATTCACCTCTTCTTGCCTCAGTTTCCTCATCTGTAGCCAGCGCTCACACACCCGCCCCCCAGGAGTGTCAGGTAAAAGGCTTGGCCACACACTAGCAGCTGCCCTTACTGCTGTGGGTCCTGACCACCCTGCCCCTGCCCTGGCCTCCTGAGCTCAGTGGGTGTTCCAGGGCTCAGGCCGCAAGGGGCCTGCCCAGGCCCCCCAGCTGGGTTGGGAGTCCTCCCTCCTCAGGAGGGAGCCTTGAATTGGAGTGCTCCTGCCAACCCCTCCCTCCTGGCTTGGCAGCGTGAAGACAACGCTGGCCAAAAATATTTGTGTGGGTGGCGGAAAGTTAACTCTTCCGCCTCTCTCTTCTTTCCTGGAAACCGTGGCCACCGCCAAATACAGCAAAACAGAAGCAGAGATAGAGCGAGGCGAGGCCCCTGTGGCGTGTCAGGGAGAGCCCTGCCCCCCACACCCACTCCTGCCTGTTGCCATCTGGCTCTGTGATGGTGTGGGTGGCGGTGGTGACGGGGGAGGGGGGCTCCAAGGGCCTAGAATCATGGCCCCCGGCACCCGGCGATGCCAACGTCGGATGGACCCTCCAGCATCATGTGGCTCAACCCTGCCATTGTGCCTTTGGGCAAACGGACTCCAGAGTACAAAAGGCATCTGCCCAAGGTCGCGTGGCCTTTCAGTTAGGCCTTTTCAGAATTCTACTGGCTCTTCGTGAGATTCCAGGGTTCTGTGACTCTCTAGTGGCGGAGATCTGGCAGCAGCTGGTGAGTTCGGAAAAAGCACGGAGAGGGAAGGGCCCTGGAGCCATCTCTTCTCTTTGTGTCCACCATCACGGTCAAGGTGTCAGAGCTGGGGACAGATGGAGCCCTGTCACTTACTAGCTGTGTGACTTAGGCAGAAGTCACTTTGCTATCTGAGCCTCAATTTCCTCGCTTCTGAAAGGAGATAACAGTACCCCTCTCGAGGGGTGGTGGTGATGATTTATCTCCACAACTTGAGCAAACGGCCCAGTATGGCGTAGGTGTTCAAATACCGTGAGTGCCCGTTCTTCTCTGGGCAGAAGGCTAGCTTCTTTGTGTTGGTTTCCCTTCCGCTGCGGCTGCTATAACAGGTGCCTGTTATCTTTCCGATCCTGATGCTTGTTGGCCTTTCCCTAGTTGGCACTGGTTTGCCCCAAGGCCCGGTAATGTGCTTATCTTGCCTCTTACCTACCACACTCTCCTGGCACAGCTCCAACCAAGAAGCCAAGGCCTTAACCCAGCCTGCTGGTCTCAGTGGTGGCGGGGGGGTGGGGGGGGTAGGGGTGCCTAGGGGTGGAGGCATGACCTCCAGGTCAAGTACCGCAGCAGGTAAGGTCAGTGTAAGCCCCGAGGTCACCAGTGTTCAGACTTTCACAACTCGGGGTTCTCACTATCCATGGGCCAGCCAGGGTGTGTGTGTTTGCGAGTGTGTGTGTATGTGTGTGTTAGGCGGGGAGTTCTTCTCTCCCCATTTTGCAATAGGACGAGTGGGATTCGGAGTGTGCGCACTTGCCCGAGTTCACACCGCTAAGCGGAGGTGGAATCTGTTAACCAAGATCTATAAATCCCAGGGTTTCTTCCCAGTGTACGTGGCCACTGGCCACCTTAAGCTCTACCTGCCCTTCCTGGGACATGGACTCCCGATCTCTATTAACGAAATCACTCCCCCCCCCCCCCCATCACCAGAGCAACAAACCTGGTTGCGCCTAGGCTCCTCCCTCTTCCTCCACACCCACTCTCCATCTGCCTCCCAGCCCAGCCAGTTCTCCCCGCCCAGGTTCCTCTCCCACGCACCCCTCTCCGCATCCCACATGCCCTAGCTCCGAAGCCATCATCACTGTTAACATTTATAAATAATCCTACTGTTATTATTATGGTTCTTGTTATCATTCACCACTCCCCCCACCAGATTTTAAGGCTTCAGAAATCAGAATACCATATCTTCTTTATCCCCCATTGTATGGTGTCTGGCAATAAAAGCTCAAGACGTTTTTGCGAAGTCAAAGAACAGCCAACACGTCTCGAAAGCCATACCGAGTCCTCTGCACGTATTTTCTCACTTAGTCCTCCATGGGGATGGTACAGTTCCTATTTTGCAGACAGGGAAGCTGAGGTTCAGAGAGGGCAGCTAGGCAGGTGGCCGAGCTGGGGTTCTAGCTCCAAGTCTGGGCACACAAGCACACTGCTGCCCCGTCCCCCCTTGGTGCACACAGCCTCTTCTGTGGCCCCCTGGCCCCAGTCTTGGGTCCTCCGCCCCACGGTTCCTGTGATTCCTGTGGTGTATGTACCTTTTCTGGCATGTGAGAGAATGTTTTCTAGGCGGTGCCCAGTTAAGTATTTTTAAATAACTAGATATTTATTTAATGGGTCTTGGGGGGGAAAGGACTTAGCGTGACATACTTGTGGTTTTCCTGCGATTATGGCTTAAGATAAGTCTAAAGTGATAGAAGTTAAGTTATTGAAAGTTGATTTGTGGAAAACAGTAAGCAAATAAAGTGTCCGGTGGCATAAGGATATGGTGAACATCTGGGATGTCGAATGACTGAAGCTTGGGACTTGGCTGTGGGTGTGTGAGACCTGTACCCCCAAACCCCAGCCAGTTCTCAGGGCCACCTTAAGGTGGACAAGTCTCAGAAATTCAGCCCAGAACACCCAGCATACGGTCTCATCTGCTGTTTCTTTTCTCCCCGTGCAGATAGATCATCTTGAAGGAGAGCCTCACAGACCAGACACAGGTTGAGAGGAGGGCTTGGGGGTCCACCACCCGACCCAGCCCAGGAGGGCCCCACAGTTGGACCTTGCCGCAGCTCTGTGAGTTGGCTGAAGAAAAGAAAGCTGCAGAGAGCCAGAAGAGACCCCTGGAGAGGAGCAAAGACAGGTGGCCGGCCTGGCCCCCACTTCTGTGCGTCTCTAAGGAGAGGCAGCACCATGCTGGGTCCCCACCTCCCACCTGCCCCCCTGGGACCCAGCGAAGACAGGCCCACTCCCTGCACCTTCCGGATCCCTGATGGGAGCTACAGGTGTCTGGCCTTGGAGGCTGAGGAGAGCAGCGGTGAGGAGGGCCTTCAGGGAGAGGCAGGGCTCACGAACTTGGATGAGGACAGGGTGGCCAGCAGGAATGGGGACAGCCCTGCCTGCAGGGCCACCCAGGGGGCACCAGAGCTGCCCAAGGCCCTGGGCATCCAGGCACCCAGACACTCCAGAGAAGCACAAGGGGGGTCCCAGCATGATAACAAGGCCGGCCAGGACGGGAACGCGGTGAAGGCTCAGCTGGTGATGACAACCAGCCCCGGCCCCAGCCCCAGCGCAGGGCCCAGGGTTGCCCAGAAACCAGGTAAGCTCACGTCCCTTTTCCCCTGGACTGCCAGAGCCCACTGGGGACCCCACAGGTCTCCTGACCATATCTTCCCATGATCCATAACAGTCTGTCACAGTCCCACAGACTGTGGGGAGACAGGGGAGACTGGGATTCCGTGCCACATCTATGCCCACTCTTTTCTCTGCCAAGGGGGGCACAGGAGAAGGCACGGAAAGAAAGCCCTGATATCATGCTTGGTTACACGAAAGTCCATCCCTCACTCTGTCTGCCCTTAATCATTCGTGGCAACAAATGGCCTTGGATTCCAGGCAATGAAGGGGCAGGACTGCCTCTCATTGAACATATTGAGTGTGCCGGCTACTTGAGGGTGCTGGGGACACAGCACCGGGCAAAGCAGACATGGTTGCTGCCCTCATGGGGTTTCTGAGGTACAGACTGAAGCCTTTGATCCAAGCTGACCTTCTAATTTTACAGATGGAAAAACTGAGGCCTGGAGTGAGGAAGAGACTGCTCCAGGTCTCTCGGCATATTGGTGACTGAGCTGGGCCCACATTCCTCACCCAGGCTCCAGTTTCCCATCTGTTAGAGATGACAAAAGCGGGACCCGTGCCACCTGGGCTGAAGTGAGGACCCAAGGACAGTGTATAGGGAAGAGCTCAGTATTCACTGGATGGAAGGAAAGAGTGAATGAACAAATGGAGAAAGAGAAGGAACAAAGGAAAAAAGGAACGTAGAAGGAGGGAAGAAAGACAGGAGAGGGGTAGGGAAGGAAGAGGGGAAGGAAGGAAGGAAGGAAGGAAGGAAGGAAGGAAGGAAGGAAGGAAGGAAGGAGGGAAGGAAGGAAGGAAGGAAGGAAGGAAGGAAGGAAGGAAGGAAGAGGGGGATGAAGGAAGGGAGGGAGGGAGATAATTTTCCTATAGGCTGCAGGAGTCAGGAGCCAGCAGAGCAGGGCGGGACAGGGAAACCCGCACTGAATCACCTCCATTGCCTGGGCTCATGGAAACACTGAAGTGGGTCCAGATGGAGAGGACGTGAGCCAGGCCATGCTTGCTCAGAAGGCAGCTGCTGCCAGCAGATCCTGGGGGCACAGGGCGTGTGGGGGACACAGGCCTGGGAGGGCTAATGCGTCAGGAAGCTGAAGGAACACCTCATTTCTCTGCAGGCATTGCTACCGCCCTGGTTGGCATCGCACCAGCCGTCCCGCCCACTCTCTTTTCTGAAATAATTTTCTCCAGGCTCTGATCACCCCCCATGGCCATCCCCACCCCACACCCCACCAACTCCCCCACGCTTGGGTCACACAGAAAGCTGGGCGGGATCCAGGAGATGTCTTCGATGCATCTAGGGCAAGAAGAAGGAGGACCCCAGGAGCGCCCAGCAGCCCTAAACTTGGAGGTGGGCCCTCACACCAGAGTAGCCCCAACTCAGGTCCCCTAGAGCCTGAAAGCCCCAGGACCTCCTCCTTTTCCTCTTACAGACCATGGCTGAGGGTCAGGAGACATGGGTGCTGGTTCTGGACCTGATACGAACCAGCCAAACCCCAGCAAATCGCTCCCCCTTAGAGAGTTGCAATTTCTTCATTTGTGAAAATAAAACAAAAACAGGGGCCTCTCTACCTCACAGAGCCATTATGAGGTTTCAGTGATCTTAGACTGGGGTAGTGTTTTGGAAATGTTAGGTGATCCCGTGACAGATGTTAATAATAATTAAAATAATCCTCAACTCCACAGTATAACAGCTACTATTTGTTAAGCCCTTATGTGCTAAGCCCACTGTGCTAAGAGCTTTATATACATCACTTCATGCAACCTCACAGTAATCCCCATGAGGGATATACTATGATTATCTCCATTACACAGATGAGAAGGTCGAGGTTCAAAGAACGTAGGTGCCTTGTGACTTATCTAAGACTCCTGGCTAGTAAGCCGCTATGCCATGATTCAACCACGGAGTTTTTTTAATATGGGACTTTGTTCTTAGCCATCGCTGTATTCTGGATTTACAAGGGGAGTGTGCTGTCTGCTGACATCCTGGAGTGGAAGAGACCATGGGTGAAGGGAGGAGAGGGGCCACGTTTAATGAATCCTGTTGGCCTCTCACACAGAGCTAGGTCATTTCTTACTATCTCATTCTCATCGATCTTACCGTATAGGTATAGTCTTTCAAGGCAGGTATCACTCTGCCCCTTTTACAGGTGACACAGCTGGAGCTCAGAGACCCAAGTCCCTTGCCCAAAGTCACACAGTCAGTGTTGGAGCTGAGACTATGATCACGGTCTTCTTCCTCACAGTCCCGTTCATTTCTTTCTCTGACGTCCAGTCAGATGGTCTCCAGTTCTGTCCTGACCGTTTCTGGGGACAGAGGGCGCAGGAGGGACCTCAGGAGGATGTCTCAGGGAAGTCTTCTCACGGGTGCGAGCAGGAAGGAATCTGGGTCTCGCAGGAGAGGAGAAATCCGGGTGGTCGTGCGTCAGAGCCCACACTGGCCTTTCTGCTCCCTCGGGAAAGGGAGTGGCTAGAGTCCCTTCTCTCTGCCTGGAGATCCGGAGGGAAGAGGCCTGTGGGGCTGCCAGGTTATTAGTGGATTAGGGCTTCCTTTTAAAGCTTCCTCCCGGTACCGCCAAAGGATTATAATATAAGCATCTTCAGACAATTACACCCGTCCTTCCGCAATTATACCTGCCTCCCTTGAGTGCTCCCTGGCAGCTTTAAGTATGGGTCATGGCATCTTCGGCCTCGGGCACCCACCACTTGGGGTGGGTGGGTACGTGGTGCCATTGCTCTAAAGCCCGAGTACCAGCTGGGCAGGGCAGAACGGGGTCCTTGGCAGGCTAGGGGAGCAGGGGGTGCAGAGAGATGATGGGGGTAGCAGCCTGCGGCTCAAGTCTCCTGCCGTCAGCTGCTGCCAACGTGAGAGAATAGATATGAGAAGGCAAGTGTGTAAGGCTCACGGCTGGGCTTCCGCTGGTGGTAGTTGGTCCACGGCTCACCAAGACAGCCCTGAGCTATGGCCGCCGTCCTCACCGCAAAGTCTCAGCTGGTCAACACTGGCAGGGCTCACAGAGATGATTGTGTAGATAATCCTGAGGAGACTCTGAAGCCCGGAGATGGTAACAGACTTGCCCCAGGTCACGCAGTAAGTTGATGCGAAGCTAGAGCTGGAACCCAGGGCTTTTGCCGCCCCCCCCCCCCCCCCGTTCAGCTGCCACACGCTGTGCTAATTGCTTTGTATGGGTCACTTCATTTCCCCCTCTAAACACCCCTAGGAAGTTCACGCCTTTCTTATCTCTGCCTCACAGATGAGGAAACTAAGGCACAATGACTTTAAGTGACTTGTCAGAGTCTCAGGCCTGTGGGTGGAGGAGCGGAGATTTGAACCCCAGGAGGTCTAGGCCCATGCTTTCAACCACCTTCTGTGCTGCCTTGTCTCCATGGAAACAAGGCAGCAGGCTGTGTTCTTCCACCCACCTAGGGCTGGAAAAAGGTTGTTCAGGCTCTGGAGGATGGTGGGGGATTCTGCCAAGCCACGTTCCCTCCCCCTTGGATACACTTAGGGAGACCTGGGACCCACTGTTGATCCAGCCCCTCCTTCGTCTGTGGCTTTGGGAGAGCTGCCTTCCCCCCTCTCCAGGCCATTTGTCATTGGGGGCCCAGGCCATCTAGAGGGCTTGGGGGCCTTTCCCACTCGAATGGACACTGCTCTGAGCCTCTAAGGTGGGGATGAAGGTGTGGATCTGGCTTGTCAGATGCACCTTGCCCCGACCATGTTTCTATGGTTGAGGCAGAGGAACCCCCGGTCATGGTAAGAGCTGACAGTGGTTACTGGGCCAAAGACAGGATCCCTGCTCTTTAGGCTTGTGCGAGAGAAGGTAGAAAGAGCAGGAGGCTGGGCAGGATGCCATCCACACCCCCTCTCAATCCCATACTCCATAGTGACCATAATAGGAGGGCAATGGTGCAGAAGCAAGGCTCACAGGGTCACATATACCTCACCCGTGCACCCACACACACGTTCACACCCCCATGGGTGCATACACAGACATATGCATACCATGTTCTTATGCAGATACGCAGGTGTATATAATCACATATCTGCATACGCATGCATGTACATGCCCTCAGACACCTACCTATCCACACGTGGGGTACACATGAGCACACACATGCACACCCCTCACTCAGGCATGCCTACCTTTCACCTGTGACACATGACATGTATCAGATTTGCATACACAGCTACAGTCCCGCCTGAAAACATACCAGTACACATATTCCCTTCCTCAGATACAGGTCAAAAGCATGTTCTTCTCTCCATTTTCTTTTGCTCACATACCCACACTTTAAAATCTCTCCCGCATGCACACATTCTCTCCTGTAGGCATACCCACTCTTGCACACCCACCGTCAAACACCTACGTACAGACTGAACCACTTTCTGTCCTCCTTCCTCTTCCCCATCTCTTTCTCTTTCATACCCACCCACACAGTAATTCTAGCTTCTCTCCTCCCTCCCTCGCTCCCTTTCTCTCTCTCTCTCTCTCTCTCCCACACAGTTTGTTTCCTGGTTTTCCACAGGCTGGACTATAGCCACTTTTCTAGCACATGGGCTTACAAGGCAGGCAATACCTTGCCTGGTGCCAGTCCCCAGGACCCTCTCTCTCCATGTTTCCCACCTCCACTTGTGGTGGCCCCAGCACAAGAGCAGCCGTGGGGGCAGAGGAATTCTCTGCAGACCATGAGGCCAACCAGTGAAGAGAGATGGGAGCAGCCAGACAGGGTTTGCCTCTCTGTCACCTGACCTCCCGCACTCTGAGCCCGCCCACTGGGGACAGGGGATGTCCCAAACCCAGGCCACCTGCAGCTTAGTGTTTCACAGAACCTCTGGTGGGGTGGGGTGGGGTGGGGTGGGCTTACATGAGCCCATGGCTAACTTCCTCTAGCAGGAGTCTAAACACAGAACCTTGATATGAAAGACAAATGAAAGTGGAACCACCCTGGTTGAAGGGGTGGGGTACT